GAAACTCATTCAGGACTTTGTCACATGGTGTGACTCCAACCACCTGCGCCTCAACACCACCAAGACCAAGGAGATGGTGGTGGACCTCAGAAGGCCCAGGGCTCACCCGGAACCTGTGACCATCAACGGTGACTGTGTGGAGTTGGTACAGACTTACAGATACCTGGGAGTACACCTGGATGATAAGACTGCCAACACAGACGCCCCGTGCAGAACAGGTCAGAGCCGATTATACTTCCTCAGAAGGTTGGCGTCCTTCAACATCTGCAAAGAACTGCTGCAGATGTTCTATCAGACTGTTGTGGCGAGCGCCCTCTTCTATGCAGTAGTGTGCTGGGGAGGCAGCATTGAGAAGAAGGACGCCTCCTGTCTGGACAAACTGGTGAGGAAGGCGGGCTCTGTGTTTGACACAGAGCTGGACAGACTGAAATCTGTGGCAGAGCGACGGGCGCTGAACAGGCTCCTGTCAGTCATAGACACTGCACAGCGCCATCTACAGGCAGAGGAGCAGCTTCAGAGACAGGCTGCTGTCACTGTCCTGCTCCACTGAAAGACTGAGGAGATCGTTCCTCCCCCACGCCATCAGGCTCTTCAACTCCACCCAGGGGAGGAAAACTCTAAACTCCAATGTGTCTGCCCTTTAGTTAACTATATCTCCTGACGCAGTGCACCCTGCATTATGTGACCACTGACTGACTGACTGACTGACTGACTGACACTACTTATGCACCTTCGGCCTTTCAAGCACTGGATTTGACCATGCACATTAGGACACTTACCCAATGCTCGTTATTTAGCTATTTATTCTACTTTATTCTATTAGTTCTTCTAAATTGACCTCTTGTTGTTATTATTATTATTATTATTATTATTATTATTATTATTATTATCAGTTAGTTATCTATCTATCTATCTATCTATCTATCTATCTATCTATCTATCTAACTCATTTACAGATTTTAACAGTTTCATCATAACTCTAAGTACTGCTGACTATCTTTATCTTTATTTTTATCTTTATATTTATCTTTATGTTTATATTTATCTTTATGTATATCTTTATATGTATCTTTATCTTTATGTTTATATTTATCTTTATGTTTATATTTATCTTTATGTATATCTTTATATGTATCTTTATCTTTATGTTTATATTTATCTTTATGTTTATATTTATCTTTATATTAATCTTTATCTTTATCTTTATGTATATCTTTATGTATATCTTTATGTTTATGTTTATCTTTATCTTTATGTTTATATTTATCTTTATATTTATCTTTATATTTATCTTTATATTTATGTATATCTTTATATTTATGTATATCTTTATGTTTATCTTTGTTTATCTTTATCTTTATGTATATCTTTATATTTATCTTTATGTTTATGTTTATGTTGATCTTTATGTTTATATTTATCTTTATGTTTATCTTTGTATTTATCTTTGTTTATCTTTATATTTATGTATATCTTTATATTTATCTTTATGTTTATATTTATCTTTATGTTTATATTTATCTTTATCTTTATGTTTATATTTATCTTTATCTTTATGTTTATATTTATCTTCATCTTTATGTTTATGTTTATGTTTATATTTATCTTTATCTTTAAATTTATCTTTATCTTTATGTTTATCTTCATATTTATCTTTATGTTTATCTTTATAAAGATCTGTGGGGTATTGCACAAAAGTAGGATAAAGAAATCCAGGATAAGTGAGCAAGCGCGGCTTGACCTAGCCTGCTCGGTGCATTCTGGCTTAATTGGTTGCACGTTTGCGGAGCCAGGATTAAAAGGTGCGGCTATGTTAAGCCAGGTGTAGATAGTCGGGATGAGTGCGTGTTCACGGCATACTGAAATAGACCTCGCGATCGCTCACAGAATCACCGATGGGAACATGGATAAGAGTCGCTGAACAACAGCTCCTGATGGAGTTCTATGAAGAAGTGGAAGATATAAGAAAAAAAGGGCAATACCAATGCAATAATTAAAGAAAGAGAGAAAGCCTGGCAGACAATAGCGGACCGGCTTAATGCTTAAGTAGTCCAAAACTGTACAATGAATAAACAGTGCTCCACTGGAACTGTCATAATTAGGCTCCAATTAAAGGACTAAAGGAGTTACTTTAAGTCCACTAATCAACTGTTGTACACTTTGCTTTAAATGTGGCAAGTAGAGGTGCATGTTACTCAGAAAATATAAAGTATGATTAAGTGCAAACAATTATCCACAATGTGTGTCATTTAATCTATTTTTATCTATTTTATCTTTCTATCCTTCATAAAGAACAAACTTGCCTGGCCATAAAAAGGACCTGGCAGCAAGTTAAAATTAAATACAAGAACATTTTGCAGGCTGGTCAGTGACTTTAAAGTAGGTAACAGTGAACAAATGAGGTGAATAGATTAGGTGTCTGCTGACATGTTGAATGTCTGTATGATTGTAGCAGTTAAAAAAAAGCCCATAGAACTGGCACAGGGGCGGCCCACCAAGCCAGGCTATGTACGGCAAATGGTTCCTTTATTGAGGTTCTCTGCATCCCCAACAGAATGAAGGAAGCTCCCACTTGCAAAACATCTCACTGTAACACAGACCATCTGTGGTACAGTGAGAGCATGGCTTCCTGCCGTCTGGTGCTGTATTTTTGGACCCAGCAGCCTACATAAATATCTTAGTCCATCACCTGAGAATCTGTATCTCTCAATGAGATTGTCATCTCCAACAGCCAATGGGTCTGACCTGTCCCAGAAGACTCTTTCATGACTAAATGCTCGTCTGAGGATTAGGGCTTCCTAATCCAGTACATCCTCCAAGAAAGGGCAAGCCATTATGAATAGTGTATATATATATATATATATATATATATATATATATTATGGCATGCCGTTTAGGAAATGAATCTTTGAATATATGGAATGAATCTTTGAATATATGGAATGAAGCTTGGATATACTGATAAAAATGTGAGAATACTGAATGAAATTCAAAACCTAGTTGTATCCTTTTCATCAAAGTGATAGCCTTCTGAATTAGCTGCTTTTACAAAATGGCATCAGTTGAAATATTACAATACTTTCTTAAACTGGAAAACTTTTTTGCTTTTTCTGTCAGGATTTAGCCTGAGGCCTGTTGTAGTCGGCCTGCCACCATTAAAAAGGAAGTGAACTTCTTCGTCAGGAGAACGGTATTGGGCACGGGTACTATGGGAAGGGATTTTGGCCCGTACAAGCACTTACCAATGAGTTAATAATGTCCTCATTGCTCAGTATTGCTGCCACAAGGTTCCTGACTGACTCATTCTCACTTCTACAAGATGGCAGCAGTGCCTTGATGACCAGTCAAGTTTCATTCCATATATTCAAAGTTTCATTCCATATATTCAAAGTTTCATTTCATATATTCAAAGTTTCATTCCATATATTCAAAGTTTCATTCCATAAATTCAAAGATTAATTTCCTAAACGGCATGCCATAATATATATACTATATTGCCCTTGTCACAGATTTCATTGAAAACACCTTTGCAACTTCATCAGCTGTGTTTTGTAATCTCAATTACTGCAATAAACACATATTTAATCAATTTGACAAGCAGTCTTCATTAGCATAGCAATATAACACTTGGCCTGAGTAATAATACTTCCACTTGAATCAATATAAAAAGACTGTTGCAATTACAAACAGCCAACAGATTTAAATGAAATAAGAAATGACAATATATATGTAATATTTTAATGCAGGATATTTTTTTAAGTCCCAAAACATAAAGGATCAATGATCACAAACAGATAATTTAATAAATACAGTAATAAGTAGTAAGACATATAAAATAAAAACAGATACTTGGTTTCCATTATAATGGACTCTGCTCTGCAAACCAACTACAACAACTTCTCAATATTAGAAAGTTGTGAAAACAAATAGTTTAATAGATCACAATCAGATGAATTTTGGGCTTTGCAGAGACATTTTATTACATCCGCTAACTTTGTTTTTTCAACCAATTATTACCAAGTTAGATGCTTTTAATGTGAAGCTGCAGCTGTAGGAAATGTTGGGTGGGGGAGGGGGCTTCATGAAGCACTTTTTTCAGGAATAAAAAGTATCCAGGATGCAGCTGCAGGGACGGCTCTACAAAAGTGAAACCAGAACACCTCGATCATCCTGTTAGTTCAGGAAGCGTTTGAGTTTTCTTTGAGCCGAACATTTTATACATCAATATGATAGAAGATCATTTAAGTACTTTAGTTACATTCCTGGTTATTCTCTGAATCTTTTACTGCAAATCTTCTTCCCTTCGCCGCAGTCTGAGGCAGCGTGTGTGTGTTCCCGGGCGCTATGCGTGTTAATGAAAGAGTGGAGATGTGCGATGCGTCGCCTGAGCGTCTCGGTGTTGGCGTCTCTAAGCACGGCGAGCCAGGAAAGACAGTCTGCAGAGCCGCCGCACTCCAGGAAGACAGGAGGGTCGCCGCCCTCAAAGCCTGAACACACACACACACACACACACACACACACACACACACCACGTAGCTGTGAGATTAAAGCAGCATTAGTCTCCTGAATGTGAACACCATGTTTAAAACTCTTATTACTATTACAGTAATGTAAGTACCAAAGCTTTATTTAAAAAACTACCGTATTTTCCAGACTATAAGTTGCTCCGGAGTGTAAGTCGCATCAGTCAAAAAATGCCTCATGAAGAGGAAAAAAAACATATATAAGTCGCACCGGACTATAAATCGCATTTATTTATTATTATTATTTATTACTTCGGCCCATGGAATGAAAATGCTGTATGGTACAATATATACACAAATATGTCAGTATACAGTGTGCTATTACCCATTCACAATAAATCATGACTATCACAACCACTGATGCAGACTTTCTTCAGCTCAGAAGGAAACAGTCTTTTCTACTTAATGCAACAGTTGAAACTATCTGAAACTAATGCTATTTCAAAGAAAATGCAGAAAATGCTTAATCCTACTCACCATTAACTGACATCCAACTCTGTGCTGACACTTGTTGTGAGTATTGACACTTGTAGAAACCCTCATCTGACTTTGACACTGCAGAGATATTCAGCTCCCTTCTGGTATCATTTTGAATCAGTTTCTCATTTCGATAGAAAAACACATTGGACTCAAATGTTTGTCTTCTCAATCTGCAGCTCAGACTAACAGAATCTCCCTCAGTCACAGGATGGACAGGGCTCACCAGGATAATATCTGTTTCTGTAAAACAGTCAAAGAATATGAGGTTTCAGTCAGATCAGCTGGTTGAATTCACACATCACTGATATATTTTACAGAGTGATCATAAAGTCTGATGTTTTATCTTTTGTACATACAACTTATGTGTCTGTAAAGTATAATTTTACCAAATAAACAGCAGGTGTCTACAAGGTTCTACAAACTACACTGAAAACTTAAGTACAGATCACCCATAAAGCTACATAAGTCTACTGTATACTACATCCAATCCTCATCATAATAAGATGATGAAATGGTTTTCAGTGTCTGTAGGAGAGATGTGTGACGGTGCTCTCTGTGGAAACAATAAGATAAAAGCTTAGACTGTAATGATGTACATGGTTAAAATTACAATAAAAGTATTTAACTGTGTTCATTAATTAATTTGATAATAATTCATATAATTGTGTTGGTGGTGGCCAGTACAAAATATTCAAAGATGATTCTTTGATTTTATACCTGCTGGTAAAATAATCTTTAAAATTTAACAAATTAATTTAGAAGACAAATGGTTTATTTTCTGGAAAACATGTTGGTGTAATTTGTTTTGTGGACTAATGCACTGCTAAATGTTAGTACTACTATTACTTTATGTTATATGGTAATTAATAATGATCAAAACTAACACTGAATGTTTATAAAATAGGCTGATATGATGAAGCAATCAGTGAACTCCTCAATGTAGATGCTGTGTACAACATGATTCTAATATATGTTAAAACACATAATGTGATGTTTAAAATAATTTCTAAAGGAAAAAGAAAATGTAATGAAACCATACTCTGAATAGTTACGTTGACGGCGTTGCTGAAGTCTCCTGATCCAGACTCACACCAGTACACTGCATCACTCTGCCAGAAACTGTCTATGTTGCATGTGGATCCATTCATTGTCCCCCAGGAGGAGCAGTATGAATGGTAGCTGTTCTCAGTCAACCTCCTCACTCTCCACTCAGTAGAGTTTCCCTCACAGCTCAGTGAGACAGAGTCAGAGGTGAAGTTTTGCACTCTGTCAGGACTCACTGTGAGAGACGCTGATGGATGAAAATCTGAAAAACAACATGTAATAGTGGATCAAACAGAGCACAGTGCTTTTAAGATTAATAATGTCATAATGTAAATATGTATTGCTTTTTTTTATTTTTGAGGATTACTGCAAACATTGCAACACAGTGCAGTGATTTTGGTCAAACTATGATTTCCATCTTGAAAACTTTTACGACTCCATCCATACTTACACAATATTCGCAAGCACACAGGAGAATGGGAATGCAATGTGTTAGGACCCACCAGTGTGCACAAAAGGCAGACGCAGCCTCCAACTGGGCTTCCCGCTATCTGGCTACCTAACCAAGAATCTAGCTCCATAACTCCCCCTCTAGTCTTCATGAGGAGGTACTCGGGCACTCGCTGGTCCAAAAGAAGCGCTAAAAAACAGTAACCACCCCACAGATGTACACACCAATTATTTGTTAACATAGGTTAGTTTCAAGACCTTTATATTGGTCACAGACAGAAACTAGATGACATAACATCTGCTTCTTGAGAGGACAGGTGGGAAACAAACTGACGCAGACCAGACAAACTGGGATTTGCATAATCAGTGTGTACACTGGATCTCCAGCTCTGCACTTATATCCTGCTGTGTGTTGGTCCATGTACGATGTCCTGTTCAGTCCCATTGCTGCTGCCAGGTAGCGGCTGGAAACAACAGTAGTATGGTAGATCAGAACAGTCTTGCTGGAAACCTCCATCCACTTTAGAGTCTCCAGGACTCAGCCATAATGGAGACACAGTGAGGACAGACTGAGGTTCTGTTGGGAGAGTGATTTTCAGAATGTAAACATGTATCAATAGTGGATCCAAATACATCCTGTACAATCAGTACATACAAACTTGAAGATTTACTTTACTTATATCAACCAAGCCATTTAGTGAACTGTATAATATTAAAATAAATATGATGAGACTTACTGTCAAATACTGTCAATTTGATGGGATCACTCCAATCTGTTCAAGACTGTTTGAGCATGTTTCATTCTGCCCTTACAGGCTGTACTCTCACTGTGGGATACAGTAGTAGACCGGGCTCTGTGTTCATTTTGATTTGAAGGTTTTCTTGAGCTGGTTGTTTCTTCATTCACTCTACGTCCACTCAGGTGTCTCCTCCGTCCCTTGATCTCACATCTGAGGTGATCTTCTCTCCTCTGTCTATTTCAGACCAGTTTGGTTGCAGAGTCACAACAGCCTTGTTTTCCAACTGTTTGTGTGCATAGTCAGGATAGAAAATGACCAAAGATCAAAACATACTGTCTTTTAACCTTTTATTCACAGGCGTATGCATTCACTTGAAAATTTATTATTTGGTTTGTTTTTCTGAGTAATTTGCTTTTATGGTTGTTTTTTTCGGAATAATCTTTTCTGATTTTCTGATAATTTTTAGAGTTTAGAGAGCATTTCAAAATAGACACTTTATGTGTTTATGTCTATTCAAATAACGAAACAAGCGCCAGCTTGTATAGTTCAATCAAGTTTTACTTTGATCTGGGTTTAAGACACTGGAATAGTCCTGTCTTTAAGTTATATAGATGGTATTATCATTAATTTGTCGACTCTACACAGGTACCTGAGGACTAGCTGAAGAGGGGCATGTATGCGGGCGAAGGAGGTCACCATGGGTCCATTGGAGGTTCTCGCCAGAGTTCAAAACATCTCGATAATTCCAGAAAAAAAAATTACTCCATAAAAGAAAAAAAAAAATTGTCAGAAAAACAAGTTTTTCAAGTGAATGCGATGCCCTTACATATTTAATCAACTAATAATTATTAATACAAAATATATTTAGTTTCGTCAAAAACAAATGCCAGACTCACTGTATTGATACTGATTGGATCACTGTAACTGGGTCTCCTCTTCCTCCTCTACACCAGTAGAGTTACAAAATGAGTGAGTGAGTGAGTGAGTGAGTGAGGGAGGGAGGGAGGGAGTGAGTTATAACTGATTGTATTACCTGTTTCTCTGCTCCCAACATCAGAGTGCTCAGTCCTCTTTTCTTCATTATTCTGTCCTGTGAATATGATCAGATAATGTGTGGAAAAGCACTCTGTATGAAGGTAAAAAGACTCTATAGTAAATATACAGTTTGACATGAGGGTCCAATACATAAAAATGCATATTACACTCTGAGGCACTAATCAGTAATTTCATTATTGTAATTGATACATGGGTAAAATGATATATACATGTAAAAACCCCAAAGAGGAAGGAGAGAGAGAGAGCAGAGAAAAGACTATTGGTCACCTTCAGCATGTTCACAGAGGAGTGTATTCAGCACTAAAATAAAGATTTAAAGTTCATCAGAGGATAATACAAGGCATTTGGCAACTTCTGTTCAGACAATCAACAGTATCAAACATGTATGTGATGATTTTCTGTGAGTTATTAAAGAAGCAGGAAATACATTTAAAAGAAATATATTAAAATGTAATAGATATACAAACATATATGTATATAAGCAATACATTACATTCTAAAGGTTTTATACATAACAATACCATAGACCAGTGGTTCTCAGCCTGGGGTCCACAGAAAAATTAGTAATATTAGATAGATTTCACCATTATTTCCCTTGACTAGAAGTTTATGGCTTTTATATTTGTGCCTCATTCCCTGAGCAAACAATGGCAGAGCACAGAAAAATATATTTTGGAAGCAAATTATTTCTATTTTGAAGAGAATTGTGCAAGCAAACATTATTTTGTTTGGGCAAATAAAAATCTATTCTGTGCTCAATGCATTTGCATGTTTGCTATTATCCATATTAACATGCAATAATAACCTCGCCTAACTCTTGCTTGGTGCAGAGGCAGACCTCAACACACTAGGTCACATTCTCTCCTCCCTTGCTCTCTTTGCCATATGAGTGCAACGTGGTCAGGAGCAGGTGAGCGAGAGTTAGTGAGGGCATATTATGTTCATATGGATAAAAGCAAAACATGTAAATGCATTTTATTATATTATCAGAAGCAACATCTTATTAAATACAGGTCAGTGGCCTATATCAATTTGGCAGCAGTTGAGAATGCCTTAGATCACATACTGTACATGCATTGTGCAAATATGTGCGTAAACAATTAGCCGAAAAATAATTATTCCAGCAGTGCATTTAACACAGTCCTCCACTCTGAAACAACCAAATCAATTGATCACGTTTATGCAAACAAAACTGCTTATGTAAGACACAAAATTAGAAAGTCACTGATGTACTCACAGAATAAACCAAGCACACAGAGCAAAGTGTGCCCCATCTTCACATCCAGCACCGACACTGTCGCTCTGCTGCTCTGCTTCTGTGGAAATGTTTCTACTTTGCAAAAATAAAGCAAAGAGAGAAGTTACATTATATATAAATGTGAGTTTTTTATCAACTCCTCCTTCTGAGTATAGCTTTGTTCTTCCTTCCTGTCCTTTTACACAAAACTCACACTGCAGTGGTTTTGACCGCAGCATACTTTGACAGATTTACACTTCCTGCCCATTGGCAAGATACATTAGCTTGTCTGTTGTACAAGGTTCGTTCCTGATCCATACAATTTTGAAATAAAAAATGGCAGGAAAAACAAGTAATCACTGTACATCAATGAAACATAAGACCATTGAATTTAATCATATCACACCATATACTAACATTTTATTGTTAATCTTTTCTTGCATCCACTGTGCCTGTGTTGCAAATAGATTAATGTTCATGTATGTTTTTATACAGTGCATTCAGACAATATTCAGACCCCTTTACCTTCACATTTTATGTTGGAGCCTTACGTTAAAATCATTTAATCAATGTCTAATGTCGCTCAATATCCATCAAATACTGATTAAAAATGTAAATATCACATTAAAATAAGTATTCAGACCCTGTCCTATAAAATTCAGTTTGGGTACCTTCCATTACACCATGTCATGCTTTGGCTCTCTTCACACTTATTCTGTTTGTGAGACCATTTCAGTTTTACCCGAGCTCAGTCACTTCCTGTGGGTGAAGTCACGACCAAACTTGAAACCAAGGTTTTAACAACCCTTATTATTCACATAGCACCTTTCATGCAGCCCAGTGCTTCACATAACAACACTGACACAACACAGATAAAAAAAATCTATGTATAACATTTGAAGACCAAAAATTAATACAATAAAAACAATAAAATCAACATCAATAAATAAATGTAAATGTAAAAATGTAGAAACTAAGCCTGTAACATTACTGTAGACAGGTAGGCACTTTATTAATTATAAACACAACAGGCGTCATTACCCAGGAAACTTTCAGCATTCCTGGAGGGCCCAGGATCAGCACCTTGGACAGCGACAGTAACAGCAGAATGTTTTCCAAATGTTTTTCAAGATCCACCGGAGCTGAAGAACGTTAATCACAGCTGAACTTAAAATAAAAGGAAAAATATTGGTTGACATTAATAGTTCACAGTAGCTTTGTGTTCATTCAAAGCCTCCACACAGATAAGGTCTCACTGAGGGCAGTCCCTCATAGCATTATCCAAAATGCACATCCCAGCTGGAGCAGGGCCGAGTTTGCGTGGTTTCCTCTAGGTGCTCAGTTTCTCCCACCATCATAACATGTATGTGACATTAATTCTTTAGTCAGTGCCCTTGAGGAAGGCACTGGCTCAGATCCGCTCCTAATACAATGGGTTAAATGCAGAGGATGAATATCCCCTACGGGGATCAATAAAGGATAACTTAACATTTAGTTCATGTGGGCCAAAGCCAAAGACTTAATTTGTGAAGAGGTCTGTATTAATTATTGAAAATAAGGTAACTAAATGTGACAAAAATACCAATATGAAGAAATACCAAAACACTTCCGTAGTTGTGTAGTTTTAAATGTCACAGATGCCCCCTCTTCATTTGTGCCCTGATGCAATATATTCGTTATATATGTAAAACAGAATCACAACAATATATTATATTAGTTATAGTTATACAGTATGTACTGCTACAGAGCCAAAGTGTGTAGTTCTGTGCCACTGAAAACCAACTACATTACAGATACAAGTGCAACTTGTAAGTGCAACATGCTGGCTAAGAGAGGGGGCAAGGACTTTATCTCCCTAGTAAACATATAGGGGTGTTGTGTGCCATCTTACAGTGTCATATGTAACCCTTAACTTAACCCTTAAACTTCAGATATAAAATACATCAAGCAGAAATCAAATAAGCAAAATACTGAAATAAACTGTTGCATGTGTTTTCTTCCATTAGGCTAAGATTATTTCTCAACTTGCGCTTAAGAAGAAACAATTGTATAAGCATGAGTGAAAAATAAACAACTTTCTTGTTCCACTTTTAACATAGATATGTGTTGCTGTGATAGCAAGAATTGGACAGTGTTATCACACATTCACACCATTGCTAAGGTGTCAGAAAAGAAGAAAAGAACACTGCAGGTTAAACACTGAGACTTCTGATTGCAATGCAAGGTAATAAACCTGTTAATAATTACATTATGACTTTCAGTTTCTGCAGCCACTGCATGCAGAGCAGTGTAAAGCCCAGACACTTTCTTCTAGTTTCTACCCAGTGGTTGTGTGTAAATCACCATAATGTAAATTATAAAGATAATGTACTCATGTTTTCAGCAAGTTGCATGTTAATTTTATATACCATGATTACCTATCATTATTCTTTTTGTAGACCACACAAACATAGTCACCTTGGTATCAGCATGTATGTGTCTGTCCACTGTGATTCATACAATAAAACTCACTGACCTAAGGATCTCCCTCCTACCCTGATTCTTTGACGACTGAACTATATCCATATCTGCTGACCCAAACCAGTTAAATCCTTTAGCAATTAAAACATAATGCTGGTGCAAGAACCAACCAGTTTCAAGCATTAGTGTGGTGCTAAAGATGGAACACATCGCTACCAGGAACTGAACCCTGGGAATGGAGCAAAGCAGGGTAATATGTTTAGCTTTGAAGCAGTCAGAGGTATGAGTATAAGGGACAAGCATGTGCAAGAGTAATTCAGCTTTCTGAGTATGTGGCTCATGAGTCATCCTGACATGGCATCTTAAACTTAACTACAGTTGCTCTAGTTCTAGACTAATTTTCAGTACTTGCATTTTGTTGGTATCAACTAAGGTAGTTCAGCACCCCCTGGTGGTTGTTTATGGGAATAGCTTCCTTTTTAACTACACAATGTCTGGGGTCGAACAGGTATATTGACTGACTGACATTCATGTTTTGTTTAACATTAGAGCATTTCAATCTGTGGTTGATAATGTTAATTTAAACAAACGTTTAAAAAGTTGAATACCCCATTGTTTACAGATGTAATATTGAAATAAAGCACATTTTTTATTCTTGCTACTTCAAAAGCGTCCCTCTATGCAGAGATATTTATGCAGCAAAGCCTTCATTATGGATACACTCCATACATGGACAATCTACATGTGTATTACATATTTAGTTACATCTCCTTAATTAATAATTCTTTATAGTCAGACCACAAGATCTAGGGCTGCCATGCATGAGTCTCAGTCACTGTCAGTGGTCTCAGTGCACTCATGTACATATGCTGGGTTAACCAGTGATAAAAGGTCGGTTAAAATGACTGGATACAAAATATTAAAACGATTAAAAAGATACTTTCTTAAAAGCACAGGAAATCACTTGCTCACACTTACATAATCTAGTGATAGACCTAGTACTGACACCTTAAACTTCAGCTTTATTCCTCATGGTTTAATGATGCAGGATTTCATGAAGTGTCTCAGGTTCATTAAAGGTAGCTGGTCAGCATTTATGGGTTGTTAAGACCAGTGGAAACACAAGCAACTGGACTCAAATGCATGACAGGAGACAGGATATTGATACAGAAATACTCAGTCTTTACTTGCCAGAATGGGGTCGGTACACAGAGGGTCAGGCAGCATGAGCAAACAAATCCAAAGAAAAAAGCTGAGGCAGAGTCCAAAAACCAGGCAGACATCCAAGCACCATGGAAAACACAATACTAGCGACACAAAAGGGCTGTAAGTCAAGATACAAAGGCACAACAACAAACGGGCACAGAGGGGATGAAACACAGGCAACATACAGTGAGGAGGAAACTAATGACACACAGGTAAACACAATCCAGGTGGGGCAAAATGGCGGGAAAAAGACAGGCAGGAAATAAAGCAAGAGGAAGACAAATACAAAATAAAACAGGAAGTAACACATGAAAAACTGATTTAAAAATAAAACACTAATATTTATGACAGACATGACACGGGTTTCTTTTGAACCCTGTACCCAGACTGACAGAGTTAATGCTCTGTTGAGCCATGTATTCCTGTAGGCCTCAGTAGCAACAGCTTCTTTATTGATAAATTATAACTATTGGAGACAAAATTAATGACCTCCTGCCCTCAACAGGTACTAATTTATCTTCAAACACAAGCACCTTCACAGCTGTAAACAATATTAACCTAAATCTAATCTAAACTTTAAAAATAGCAATTTCATATAGTTTTATATAGTTATAGGGCAACATGCTGATATATAAACCTTCTGTGGATATGTTTCAAGTTTTCTCACACCCCTTAAAATAAAAAAGGCTACGGGACCCCCTGTAAATCTTTGGCGACCCCCAGGTTGGGAACCACTGCTCTATAGCCTCATTGTCCCCTTCATTGCTTTTGACAAGCTTGATAGTGTCAGAAGAAGGTTACCGTGGGATGTTCAATCTAGTTTGGCTGTCCAGTCAAAAAAGCAAATAAAAACACAACTGACAGCTTACTGCTGGAAAAATAGTTTATTAATGTGTCTAAATGGTTTTAAGAGTACAAAAGCTATAACATTTGTTACACACAGTAACAATGAATATATATGTAAATAGACAGAAGAAAACCATAGATTGTATAATTAAAAATAGCAGTCACATAGTCTCTGTGAGCGTCACCCATAGGTTTCTGAAGAGCCGTTGTGAAGCTCATTGAAGGTCGGCTTTGGCAGTCCTGACTCCACCGGGCTCCCGGCTCACCCAAAATGGGCAGAGATGTGAAGATATATTGTCCAACACAGATAATTACATGAATAAGTGTTGATGTCCATTGTCGATCTTTCTCATAAACACTAAAGAAGATGCTGACTAAAAGCTGCACTATCACCTGGATACTAAAGGTTAAATGTACTAGATAAAACTGTTGGAACAGCTTGCATTCTGTTTCCCACAAAAACTTTATACATAACTGTAAAACATCTTAATGCGTATGCTTTGTGCTTAAAGTAGTAACTAAATCCATATGATGTAATTATTTTATATTATCCGCTAAGAAATTAACTGTACAAAATACTGAACATGTCTGAAATTTCGATAGCTGGCTCTCTTACAGACAAAGATATACGGTTATTAAAGACATAAGGATGCTTTTCTGACATGTTATTCTGGCTTCCACCCATTTAATTATCTGTAGAATAAGTCATTACAGTAAGCACATCAGACGGCAGCATTATTACCAAGAGCTGTTCCTGGTTTAACTTCAGAATAAACAGCGTCAGCAGTTGCTGCAGGAGGTGATTTTCCTGTGAATGGAGGGATGTTTAGTTTTAAACAACTGCCAGTAATGTCATAATTAATAAAGATAATGAGCTGAACTGACAGGTACACTGAATGACAGTACTGCCAGCACATAGCAGAATATTATAGCTTTTACAGAATTTACTGATGTACTCTCAATGTATAAAATGTATAATAAAAATACATTACTAAAGATGCAAGAAATATGAGGAATGAATACAATAAGTAATAACAAACAGCTACCATTTTAAACATATCGAACACATTACATACAGACAGTAAATTGTCCAACACCAACATGTTGGATGATAACAACTGCAGGTGAATGCAGACTTTACCTACCTTTGTTTCTCTTGGCTTTGCCTTTATTCTGGTGGTTGACTTGAACATACATCAGATTGTCGTCTAAAACAGAAGTCAGATCTCAGGATTTGTTTGCTCAGCAGACACATACAGTACTGTGCAGCTGGATGGATGAATGGATTGATTGACAGGTAGATTTAAATTAAAGGAAATGTATTTGGGATTCCCTTGTACTTTTTCATGACAGTACAGTAGCATCAAAATATAACCACTTTAGTTGTCATCACCACACTGTCACCTTAGCTAATGTGTTATTTTTGTTTTCAGTTTTGTGCCAAATCTGTGATATGGAAGACAATTTGAAACAAATTACACATACTGTCCATGAAACAAGACAAACTTAGAAATACCCAGAAGTCTAAAAAGGTTCCTAAATATGTGTGAGAATTGACAACTCTGGTGATGCAGAGTGGTAGTATGTAGTATTTACCCAAGGTGACTGACATTAATTGAACTGCATGCTGACCCATAATGACCTCCTGTGTAACGATATGACACATTTCAATACAGATTCTGAGCATGATGGTTGGAACTGACGGTACCTGCAGTTGCTGTTTTCACATCAGAGTAAATAGCGCTCTCCTCTGGTTTCTTTTGCTTCCCTGTTAAAATAATCAGATTAATCCAAAAAGAATAAAACATTGTTCTTTAGATACTGCAGTTTAAGACAACGCTAATCTATTTTTAATTTATTGTAGGTATTTGAAGAAGGCCTACTCACTCTTCTTTCCAAAGTTTTTAAGTTCAATCAAAGAATAAGTGACATCCTGGGATCCACCTGCATCTGAAACAGAAGCTACATATTTTTAATTACAGGATTTTATGTCGATCATTCATAATCAGTCCCTTTAAATCATGCAGTTGTTCTGCCACAGTAAAACCTTTATAGTCTAAACGTTGAATCTCAGAATAATCATCAGACCCAACAACATTCTCTGATGATGAAAGTAATATAAACAAGAATAGGACAGACCATACAACTTGAGATGTATGTAACAAGATGATGTAGTAACTTCATGAAACAGAACTGACTTTAAAGGAACTCCATCATTACTGGTCAAATGTGTCATCAGAGGTGATATTTTCACAATGTTCACTCTTAATAAACAGGGAGTCTACAGCAATGTTAGCAGACCTGTGAGGCTGCAGGTACAACAGAGCTTTAACACAAAGTACAGCAACCACTGATGTGAATGTCATAAACCACAATGCTGGATACATTTTAATTTTGACCTGCTGGTGGTCCTAGAGGAAAAGACAAAAGGGGTCACCAAAGTCATGATAGTTAGCACATATCTCCAAATGTATAGATTGCAGGTTCAAGACCTGTTTGGTAAAAGCTCTGAACATTATCTAGAAACAAGAATATTACTAATACTATTTTAAGTAATTTCTTCTAGTTTTAAAACTTACAACTTGAAGCTAAATTTATTTATTTTCAGAACGCACTTAAATTTGATCGTGTTATTTTTTACATTGTGTGGGGATGAACTGTACCGTTTCCAGTGTCCTCAAAGCCTTTGATTGATTCATACAGAGGAGCATCACCTACAGAGCAGTGAACATCAAGCAAAGGTCAAAGTAATCTCATTAAACTTATGATACTATTTAAAGATCCTTATTTAAAATGTGTCTTTAAAATGTGTGAATATATACATATAAAACCAAGATTAGTTTAAATGCTAACCATGGAGATGAGTGGAGTAGTCATTACGTTGAGCTTCATTCTGGTTGACCACATGATTTGTGTTAGAGTCCTGATTGATGCTCTCAGACTGGTTTGATCTACAACATGAAGCAAATACAACACATATAAATAGGAACATGTAATGTATGGTTGGTATGTTCAAAATGAGAGAAGAGAGTGTTCAACCAACCTGATAAACCATGAACCTGTGAATAAAAGACATTTGTTGTTACATGGTTTTGTATTGTGAGTTGTTATAGTTCTATTATTATATACCTATGTGTTTGAATAATAAAAGCAGTAGAGGAAGGTCTCACCTTTGGACGGTCTGTAGCGATACAACAGGAGCAGAAGAATGATGAGTATGATTCCACAAACCAGCCCAACAATCAACGCTACAGGAGAGGAAGAGCTTTCAGGCCTGGACACTGCTATAATAATAAATAATAACTGTTAATAAAGTTGTATAGTACTTTTCTGAAACTGAATGTAGTGCTTTCATAAAGATGAGAGTCATGTCACATCAAGCCCTAAAACAAAACATAATAATACAATTACAAATTTATAGGTATAAACAACACAAATGCACAAACACATACAAAAAATCCTGTTCCAAAGGAATAGTGGTTGACTGATATGGTTAATTAATGGCCGATGCCGATATTTAGAGAGCAGGGCTGTCGATGGCCAATATAGGATGCTGATATCAAAACAAAGAAAAGTCATGTACAATTGGATTCTATAGGAAATTCAAGCATACGTTTACATCACTATATAACTATATATAACTATAACCGAGTTGTTTTGAAGTGTGGGGTTCAAAACCAACTTTGTCACCATCTTGCCTAAAAGGGAGAGTGCTAATGTCTCGGCCGAACGATTACACACATTAATACACAAGTAAACATTTAGAATAAAATAATTACTATCATGACTATCACAATCACTGATACAGATGCTTTCTTGAGCTCAGAAGGAAACAGTATGTTCTACTTAATGCAACAGGTTAAAAAACTAAAGCTATTTCGAATTCAGCTCAGTATTTGCCTCTAAGTTTCTTTCTCAGACAGAAACACAGTTTACATGAAAGAAAATGCAGAAAATGTTTTAATCCTACTCACCATTAACTGACATCCAACTCTGTGCTGACACTTGTTGTGAGTATTGACACTTGTAGAAACCCTCATCTGACTTTGACACTGCAGAGATATTCAGCTCCCCTCTGGTATCATTTTGAATCAGTTTCTCATTTAGATAGAAAAAACACATTGGACTCAAATGTTTGTCTTCTCAATCTGCAGCTCAGACTAACAGAATCTCCCTCAGTCACAGGATGGACAGGGCTCACCAGGATAATATCTGTTTCTGTAAAACAGTCAAAGAATATGAGGTTTCAGTCAGATCAGCTGGTTGAGAAAATATCACACATCACTGATATATTTTACCGAGTGATCATAAAGTCTGATGTTTTATCTTTTGTACATACAACTTATGTGTCTGTAAAGTATAATTTTACCAAATAAACAGCAGGTGTCTACAAGGTCCACAAACTACACTGAAAACTTAAGTACAGATCACCCATAAAGCTACATAGATCTACTGTATACTACATCCAATCCTCATCATAATAAGATGATGAAATGGTTTTCAGTCTCTGTAGGAGAGATGTGTGACTGTGTCTCTGTGGAAACAGAATGAAATAAAAGCTTGGACTGTGCTGATGTACATGGTTAAATATCAATAAAAATATTTAACTATGTTTATTAATTAATTCAATAATTATTAATATAATTGTTTTGGTGGTGGCCAGTATAAAATATTCAAAGATGATTACTTGGCATTACCTGTGTTTGACCAGCACCTGATTGAATTATACTGCTGCACTGAACTTCTGATTGTATACCTTATTGCATATTATTTGTGTAGTACCCTGCTACTTTTGGTTACATTTTGTTTCTTTTATGAGGGTTTTAGTTAACAAATATATAAATTACTACTGATGTGAGATCAGTTGTGTTTAATACAGGGAAATGTATATTTGCTATGTTTTTTAGAAGATATTGAATTTTCCTGTGTTCTGAGCAGTCCTTGAACGCCTCCTGCCGTATGTTTTGTTGTTTATTTGAGTATTCAGGTGTCAATCTGTCATTTGTCCAATCAGGGTCTATTAGGGATGAGTATGGGGTAAACTACCGGATTCTGAGAGGGCGGGATTAAAGAGAGAGACGGAGAAACACTGTGCTGTTCATAAGTTTATAAAATAGTGTTAAAGTTACTTTATTTCTTTAATTAAAAACGCTGAGGGTGTTTATGAGTCTGGACTCTGCTAAGAGGACGAAGAAGACAAGTGCCCTCGTGTGGACTGTTGCTAGGACGAGCATTAGCCGTTGCTATGGAGGGAGCACAACTTTCATCAGCTGCCAGTGGACAGAGGTTTTGAACTAAACAAACAACGTTTCTATCCAGTGTGAGTATAATCAAAAAGATCTTCATATGAGCTCCAACTGCGCGCCAGCATTCATGGTACCATAAACTGAACAAAGTAAAAACCCCGGGTATTTTCTTTATTTTATTTACATTTTATTTGGGTCATGTTGAATAAATGTTCCCCTATTTTTTTTTTGCATTGAAACTGTGTGTGTACAAATATTCATATTGCAAATCATTGTGTGTTTTTATGTACTGAAAAGGAAGGTGGTTATTAAAAAGTATGTATGGGAGTTAACTGAACTTGGCCTCTCGGATCAGATTATCTAGTCGAAGTAAATGCAGAGAAATGTCATATTTAGTACACTCCTACCAATTCACCTCCCATGCTAAATTGTTTAAAGGTAATCAAGGTAAACATTTTGTTACAAATTAGAATTGAGTAGGAGGGCTACATTTATTGTAAAATAATCTTTAGGAACAACAATTCAACGACATGGATATTGAACTTTTGTAATGTAATGTAGATGTTGTACATAACATAATTCTAATATATGTTGAAACACATAATGGGACGTTTAAAATCATTTATAAAAGAAAATATAATGAAACCATACTCTGTATAGTGATGTTGACGGCGTTGCTGAACTCTCCTGATCCAGACTCACACCAGTACACTGCATCACTCTGCTGGTTACTGTCTATGTTGCATGTGGATCCAGTCATTGTCCCCCCAGGGGAGCAGGTGAAAAGTACCTCTTCTCAGGAAACACCATCACTCTCCACTCAGTAGAGTTTCCCTCACAGTTCACTGAGACAGAGTCAGAGGTGAAGTGTTGCACCTGTCAGGACTCACTGTGAGAGACGCTGATGGATGAAAATCTGAAAAACAACAAGTAATAATGGATCAAACAGAGCACAGTGTGTTTTAAGATTAATAATGTCATAATATGAATTTGCTATTATTGTTTATTGTTAAGGATTAGTGCAAATATTGCAACACAGTGCAGTGATTTTGGTGAAACTATGATTTCCATCTTGAAAACCAGCTACCATTTGATTACATTTTAAATGATAAATGTTCTACTTTTACTTGCCATCTTTCAAAGATACAGGGGGATTCATGTTGCTTCATTGTCTCTATACACATTCAGTGTTTTCCTTTTATTAGTCAGAGTATTCTCAGATGTCCAGCATGTTGTTTAACTTTTTTAACTGCTTGTTGACTCACTGCAAAGACGAGTTAAGTTTCAGTGAAAATCTCTTCTCTCTCTTTTTTGGTGTTATTCATGATAAAGTTAAAGAGAGTGACGACAAAATGAAGCAAGAAAATTCTGCCCAGTCCAGTATGAAACACCACATAAGAAGCGGAGCTGGAATATCATAAAGTCTTCTTATGCTCGAACTGCTATGAACAGGGGGATTATCGGCAAGCAGAGAATCAACCGCATGTTTGCCCTCTCTAATCAATGTCAATTTATCTTTCTGCAGTTCAACCGACAGTTCCTTCCTTATCTCAATACCCGTGTCGCATACTTTCTACAGTGACTTTTTTCGGCCATCTCTAATTTCATGTGCAACACAAGCAACTATTTCTGCTGCTCCGGCAAAGTGAATCTATCAACAGGACTCTTCAGTAAGCGGAGGAAGGACCAACCTCTGCAGTGGGCCCAACAGAGACCGCTTCTATCACCATCTGGTACGCTGCGCCACTGCCAAGGACAAGGGCAGACTGCATGTATCATTCGATCAGCGCCGAGAAGGATCTGCTGCAATCTGCCATCTTCTCCCGGACCTGTACGCCTCAGGGACCAGGAAGGTGCAGGTAAGATTGTGGCTGACCCTCCCACCCTGGTCATACAATCTCTTGAGATTCTCCTGGCAGGCGGCCGGTCCATCAGAAATTCAAAACGCCTCGCCATAAAAACAGTTTCTTCCCGTCAGCAGCTGGCCTCCCCAACAAGGCAAGGATTACCCACTGTCATTGACTCTTATACCCACCCTGTATATAAAGTATGCATTACATTAATGCACCCACGTTCTTCTGCACAGCTTTCTCTTTCTCTCTTCTTATCTTTAATTATTTATTTTTTGAAAGTACTTTATTTTCTGTGTGATTTCTGTGGGACTGTGTGATATGAATTTGAATAATTGTATATTTGTATATTTACTTGTGTGTATATATTTTTATGCACCAACTGCACCAATAGGTCACATTCCTCGTAGGCATAAAAACCTACTTGGCAATAAACAAATTTTGACTTGACTTGATTCTGATACTTCCCTACAACAGTAACACATTCATCTTTAATGAATTCATTTTCAAGTTTCACATCACTGTCTATTTTACTCTCGGATCCCCAACATCAGCTTTATAATAGTCAGCTATTTAACCAACTGATCCTTTTGTACACTCATCTAAAACCTCTTCAACTACAAACGCTTTGGCTACTTCATCAATAATTAATAATATTTGCAAGCACAGGAGAATGGGAATGCAATGTGTTAGGACCCACCAGTGTGCACAAAAGCAGACAGCAGCCTTCAACATTGGTTCCCGCTATCTGACTACCTAACCAAGAATCTAGCTCTATAACTCCCCTCGAGTCTCCATGAGGAGGTACGCGAGCACTGCAGCCCGCTGGTCCGAGAGAGAGGCGAATAAAAACAGTAAGCACCCGAAACCACGGGTAGTTTTAAATATAGCTACTTTATGTTGGTCACAGACAGAAACTAGATGACATAACATCTGCTTCCTGAGAGAACAGACAGAAACAAACTGACCTCCAGACCAGACAAACTTGTGTTCACTATAATCAGTGTAATACACTGGATCTCCTCTTCCAGCTCTGCACTTATATCCTGCTGTGTGTGTGTTGGTCCATGTACAATGTAGGAATCCTGTTCAGTCCCATTGCTGCTGCCAGGTAGCAGCTCAGAGCTGTAGTTGTAGTTGGATGATAGATCAGGAAAGTCTTATACCAGAAACCTCCATCCTGCAGATGGATGTTCAACCTCAGAGAACAGAGTTACAGAGTCTCCAGGACTCAGCCATAATGGAGACACAGTGAGGACAGGCTGAGGTTCTGTTGGAAAGTGATTTTTCAGAATGTAAACATGTATCAATAGTGGATCAAATGCATCCTGTACAATCAGTACATACAAACTTGAAGATTTACTTTACTTAAAACACATATCAACCAAACAACAGCCATTTAGTGAACTGTATAATATTAAAATAAATATGATGAGACTTACTGTCAAATACTGTCAGTTTGATGGGATCACCCAATTCCTCAGCAGAAGACTGTTGAGCATGTTTCATTCTGCCCTTACAAGTGGGCCTCCACTGTGGGATACAGTAGCAGAAAGACCGAATACTGTGTTCATTTTGGATTTGAAAGTTTTTCTTGAGCTGGTTGCTTGTCATTCATACGCCCACCTCAGTGTCTCCTCCGTCCTTGATCTCACATTCTCTGAGAGTGATCTTCTCTCCGCTGTATATTGTAGACCAGTTTGGTTGCAGAGTCACAACAACAGGGTTTTCAACTGTTCATGTTCAAGAATTCCCAGTAAGAATACAAACATGATAAAACATTAAATCTACATAAAACAAAGTGTTACATTTTATCCATCAGTAATTATTAATACAAACACTGCTTTAATTTTCTGTTTCAAAACCAATTCCAGACTCACTAATTTTGTTGATACTGATTGGATCACTGTACTCTGTGTAGTAAACTGTGTCTCCTTTCCCTCCTCTGCACCAGTAGAATCCTCCCTGTGAGACACTGATTCGTCCATTTGAGAGGAAGAAAACATCTGGTGTGGTCAGAGGTTCAGAGGTTTTCTCTCCTCTGTACCAGAAGTATTTTCCAACCAGATGATGGGGGGTTCACAGAGCAGGTCAGGGTCACACTGCCCCCCTACAGGAATGTCTGTGTCACAGCTCTCAAAGGCCTTTGGTCTCTGTGCTGTTTAATTTAGAATAAAGACATAAAAAAGGGAAACGACTGTCACTGTGATTTAATCCAATGTAATAGAGCAGCCCCCGACAGGTAAGAAATGTTAACATGCCTTTAATTTATAGACTGGATACATAATAGTTTACCTCTTGAAAAGGAGCCCTGTTGCTGTTTCTGGGTCTGTATCTGTAATGTAACTAACCAGGAGCACAATTCACCACATTTGCAACAAGAAAGCAGCATTTTGCAACATGAGATTTTTTCCTCATTTTCACACAGAAATCAAAACAAA